CCGAAGTATTGATATCTAGAGATGGATTTCTCCACGGGGTTGGATTACCCCTTTTTCTCGGTACCGGATGACTTATAGTCAGTGATAAGTATGTTCCGGGATGGATTACCCTGGGTCGGACGGCCATATACGATACCAATTAGTTGAGTGTTTATATATATACCTAGAGATGAATTTCTCCATAGTGTTGGATTACCCTTTTTCTCGGTACTGAGTGACTCACAGTCAGTGTTGTATATGTTCCGGGATGAATTTCCCTAGATCGGATGGCCATATCTAGCACCGAGTGGTTGAGTACCTGAGAGTGGGAGCACATTGTGCATTTCATACAGTCGCTGCATCGCCATGTAGAGGAAGTTGAGTCATATATCATAAACTGTTCAGATCTGTATTTACCTTATTAATTTGAGCTGTCTATTTAACTGAAAGCATGCCTAGGTTTCTGTACGTTGTTTCTATTGTATCTGATGAGGTTGAGTTCGTCACTACCATTCAGTCCATACTTTGGATTCGTTACATACTGAGTTGGTGTACTCACGTTACCCCCTGTACCTTGTGTTTAGATTCAGGCACTTTTGGACCAAGTGGCGGTTGTTGATCGAGGCTTCATGCTTAGGAGATTATCGAGGTACCTGCACGACGTTCGCAGGCCTTAGCTCTCCTTCGTATTCTCCAGTTGAATTTTAGTTGCTTCTTTAGACATTGTACCAGACTATGTATTTTCCCTAGATGCTCATGCACTCAGTGACACCCTGGTTTTGGGCTGGATTGTATCTTATCTTGGAATTTCTTATGTTTCAATTTGTTTCTTTAAATGTTAAAAGCTTCTGTTGATATTTTCAACTTATTGTTATTATATTGGTTATTGAATTGAGGCTAGCCTAGTTTCACGATAGACTCCATCCCGACTGGTCGGGTTTTGGATCGTGACAAGTTGGTATGAGAGCCTAGGTTACATAGGTCTCACAAGTCATGAGCGGATTTTGTAGAGTCTTGCAGATCGGTACGGAGACGTTTATACTTATCTTTGAGAGGCTGCAGAACCCTTAGGAAATATCACATTCTTGAATTCTTATCGTGTGAATCTGTTGATGCTGGTAACTAAATTTCTTTTATTCTATTCTCTTACAGATGGTGAGGACACGTGCTACCGGTCAGGATGGACAGCCACCAGTGCCACTAGTTGGGGCCACGAGAGGCCGAGGTCACAGTCGAGGCCGTGGTAGGGGCAGGGATGTAGCCCACACAGCAGCTAGGGCAGCACTTGCAGATCCACTAGTTGCCCCAGTACAGGATCAGGTTCTAGTTGTGGATGCACCAGCGGGACCACCTAGGCACCAGCTGTGCCCTTCTTTAGACATTGTAATAGACTATGTATTTTCCCTAGACGCTCATGCACTGAGTTACACCCTGGTTTTGGGTTGAATTATATCTTATCTTGAAATTTCTTATGTTTCAATTAGTGTCTTTAAATGTTAAAAGCTTCCGTTAATGTTTTCAACTTATTGTTAGTATGTTGGTTATTGAGTTTAAGCTGGCCTAGTTTCACGATTGGCGCCATCACGACGGGTCGGGTTTTGGGTCGTGACAGTTACCCCCAATTTATGACGATTTTTAGTTAGTTATATGCCTATTCGTTTGATAAAGAGTTTATCCATAAATTTCTTTTCTTTATATTTTAGTGTACCCTTTAAAAATAAAACCCAAAACTATTTCCACTCGTTTGACCTTCTCCATTTGGACATACGTTTTAATTTATATTTTTGGTAACAGTTTTTAGGACGTTTTGAACCGTGTAACAGAAAATTCTTATGGACAACTTAATCAATCTAAATAATAATTATTTATTTACTAGTATCAATTTCAACATATCTATTTAAACACGTAATGGTCATTGGCTTAATTTCCTCGATCATGGAATTCACTTATTTATAAAAGTTTAATTTCACCACTTGGGGTGCGTTTGGTACGAAGGAAAATATTTTCCATGAATAATGTTTTCCTGGAAAATATTTTCATGAAAAATGAGTGAGTTTATCACTTATTTTCCCTTGTTTGGTTGTAAGTAAAAAACTTTTTCCAGAAAATATTTTCTAGTATTTGGTTCGAGAGCGGAAAATAATATTTTATGGTACTCTGCTCAACCTACCTTCCCCAAAATCCTCATGTTTCCTGTACTCCTTCCCCCTCCAAGACTCTACTTTCTTTCAAGAATTTATTATTCATTTCAAAATTCACACAAACCCAAAGGAAATAATGTGCTATTTTACCTTTTTACAAAAACAACGTTGAAATTTGAGCTCGATAACTAAAAAGATAATACTTTTGTTTGTTGAAAAAGAAAGTATCATTTATAACATGAAAAGAAATTACTCATTTTGTTGAATGAAAGAAAATACTTTTTCTACATCATGAAAAAAAATACGTACTTGGTTTGTTGAAATGAAAGAAAATACTTTTTCTACATCATTAACAAAAGTATTGGTTTTGTTGAAATGAAAGAAAATACTTTTCTATATCATGAAAACAAGTACTCGTTTGTTGAAAAAGCATTTTTTCTGTTTCAGGAAAAGAAAAACTCAGCTTGTCAAAATGAAAGAAAATATTTTTTTCTATATCATGAAAAGAAAATACTCGTTTTGTTGAAATAAAAAAAAACTTTTTCTACATCATGAAAAAAAGTACTCAACAACAACAATAACGACAACCACAAGCAGGGTCTGAGGAGGGTAGTGTGTATGCAAATCTTACCCCTGCCCCGAGGGAGTAGAGAGGCAGTTCGCGATAGACCCTTAGCTTAAGAAGACAAAAAGAGACAATATATCAATACCATCAACAGAAACAATAAAAATAATAATAACATCATAATAAACAGGAAAGCAATAACCAATAAATAAGGTCCGATGCTATGAAAACGGAAGAGTAGTATGAACACAACATTGACCGCAACCAGTCTAAGACAAAAGCCTATCATATTAGCCACAAACTGGTACGAATTAGAAATATGCTCAACTACCTTCTAACCTACAACCTTAATGCTCGACCTCCACCGCTTCCTATCAAGGGCCATGTCCTCGGAGATATGAAGCCACGCCATATCCTGTCTGATCACCTCTCCTCAATACTTCTTAGGCCGCCCTCCACCTCTTCTTATACCCAACAAAGCCAACCGCTCGTACCACTTTTACCGGGGTATCTGGGCTTCTCCTCTGTACGTGCCCGAACCATCTGAGCCCCGCTTCCCGCATCTTCTCATCTATGGCCACCCACATTCTCTCAAATATCTTCATTCCTAATCTTATCCATTCAAGTGTGCCAGCACATCTACCTCAACATCCTCATTTCTGCTACTGTCATCTTTTGGATATGTGAGTTCTTAACTGGCCAACACTCAGCCTCATATAACATGGCTGGTCTAACCACCGCTCTATAAAACATACCTTTGAGTAGCGGTGGTACTTTCTTGTCATACAGGACTCCAGATGCTAACCTCTATTTCATCCACCCACCTCTATACGGTGTGTAACATCCCGATCTCCCCATCCCCCTAGATAACTAACCTAAGGTACTTGAAACTGCCTCTCTTGGGGATGACCTGCATTTCAAGCCTCACATCCACGCCCGCTTCCCTCGGCTCGGTGCTGAACTTGCACTCAAGGTATTCCGTCTTAGTCTTGCTCAACTTGAATCCCTTGGACTCAAGGGCATATCTCCAAAGCTCCAACCTCTCATTAATGCCGCCTCGCATCTCATCTATTAGATCTATGTCATAGTGAATAACATACACCATGGCACCTTCCCTTGAATATGGTGTGTCAGTGCGTCTCTCACCAGGGTAAATAAGAACGGCTGAGCGCAGATCCTTCATGTAACCCCATAATAATCGAAAAATAATCTGAGTCGCCTCCTGCTGTCCTAACCCGAGTCTTAGATCCATTATTCATGTCCTTATTTCCCTAATGTAAGCAACCAACACACCTTTAGCCTCTAGGAATCTCTAAAGAGCCTCTTTAGGATCCTTGTCATACGCTTTCTCCAGTTCAATAAACACCATGTGCATATCCTTTTTCATATCCCCGTACTGTTCCACCAACCTCCTAATAAGGTGGATAGCTTCTGTAGTAGACCGACCTGGCGGATATAGAAATTGTCCTTCTCACCGTCGCTTATACCACCCTCTCCCAAACTTTCATGGTATGACTGAGTAATTTGATGCCCCTATAGTTGTTGCAACTCTGGATATCACCTTTATTCTTGTACAACGTAACCACTGTACTCCACCTCCACTTATTTGGCATCCTCTTCATCCTGAAAATAACATTAAACAGCCCCAGTCAACCACTCCAAAACTTCTCTACCTAACACCTCCAAAATTCTACCAGAATTTCATGTAGCCCAGTAGCTCTTCCCCTACTCATCTTACGCATAGCCCACACAACCTCCTCAACCTTGATGTGCCTACAGTACCTAAAGTCACGGTGACTCACGGATTGCCTAGTTCTCCTAGCACAATATCCCGATCCCCTTCTTTATTTAGAAGTTTTTGAAAGTAAGTCTGCAATCTCCGCTTAATATGGGCCTCTCCCATCAATACTCTACTGTCCTCGTCTTTGATGCACCTCACTTGGTCCAGATCGCAAGCCTTCTTCTCTCTTGCCTTGGCCAGCTAGAATAAAATCTTTCTCCCCGCCTTTGACCCCTAGTTCCTGGTTTAGACAATCAAAAGCCGCAATCTTAGCCTCCGTGACCGCCAGCATCGCCTCCGTCCTATCTACCTTATACTCTCTCTGTTCGCTCTCCTCTCCTCCTCGCATGTGTTCCCTACTAACTTCAGGCACGCCACCTTCTTTACTTCCACTTTACCTTGGACCTCCTCATTCCACCACCCATTGGATTTTAATTTTGCTAGAGTAACCCGTCGAGACCACTAACACCTCTCTCGTTGTCTCCGTTATACTGGCTGCCATCGTCGACCATTTATTGCTCGCATCCCTACTACTTCACCAGGCTCCCATAGCCGATAACCCCACTTCCAACTGCTGATCTGTATCCTTAGTCAAGTCTCCCCACCCGATCCTCGATCGTCCTCGTGCAGACATCTTCTTCCTCTTTACCATGATACTGACGTCCATCACCAAGAGCCTATTCTGTGTCGCGAGGGTCTCACCCGGGATAACCTTACAATCCTTGCACAACCCTCCGTCACACATCCTAAGGAGAAGATAATCAATCTGAGTCTTTGCCACCGCACTTTGGAAAATAACCAAATGCTCATCCCTCTTCAGAAACTAGAGTTCACAATCACCAGCTCAAATGCCTTAGAGAAATCCAACAACGAAGTACCTCCTGCATTCCTATCTCAAAATTGAAGCCGCTATGCCCCTCGCCATAGCCACCTGCAGTCGACCCAATATGTCCATTGAAATTCACTCCTATAAATAACCTCTCAGCAGCCGAAATATTACGCACAACCTCATCCAACTCCTCCCAGAAGCGCCTTTTAACCTCCTCATCCAAACCCCCTTGTGGTGCGTAAGCGCTAACGACATTTAGAGTGCACTCTCCAAATACCAACTTAATAGTCATTAACCTAGTATTCCCCCGCCTAACCTCTACCATAGACTCTTTGAGTTCCCTATCCACCAAAATATCTACACCATTATTACCCTTCAGGACTTCAGAGTACCACAGCTTATCCCGTCCGCATCCTTCGCCTTCGATCGTACCCACCTAGTTTCCTGGACACATGCTATATTGACCTTCCTCTTCTGGAGAATCTTCGCCGGCTCTATTGACTTACCCGTCAATATACCTATGTTCCATGACCAAATTCTCAACCTATAGGCTCCCTTGTTCCCCTTACCTCCCCCTTGTCCCCTACCACCCTGAGGTCATGACCTTACTCTACCATCCCAAACTACAACCACTATACATATAACAAACTAAGGAGAATCACTAACTTACAATAGACAAAAAGACCAAACTAGGAGAAACCAAGTTGTATCTACAAGCATGCTAATTGCATGATTTAAACTAATGCGAACTAAAAAGACAACAATTTAACTAAAACAAAGAAGAGAAAATAGGAAAGCGGGAGGTACCAACTCCCAAGAATAGAACCTAGAAATTGTCTAGGTGTACACGACAGTGTTATGGTACCTGGCACGATCACGTCCAACTTTTCAATGCCACTTATTGACACTCGCCCTGATTGCTCTCCTACGTTTACACGGGCTTCCCGCTCGTCTCCAATAGCCACCGAGTATTACCTGAAAGACACACAAAACACCCAAGAACCAAAAGAAGGGGCGGTTGTTGTTAGATCTAAGTTGATTTCAATAATGCAAAATAACCAATTACTCCTTGTGTGCGGGAAAAGTTTTTGAGCAATAAATACAACGACAACGACAACAACAACAATAACAACAACAACATACCTTGTATTATCCCATACCGTAGGGTCTAGTGAATGTAGTGTGTACATAGACCTTACCCCTACGTTGTGAGGATAGAGAGGTTGTTTCCAATAGACCCTCGACTCAGGAGAGCATAAGAACCACATTCTGAGCTATATAATGGAAGGCATAAATAAATCAAACGAAAAGGAAAGAGGAGTGGAAGAATCAATCAAGGGAGCTGGCAAAATCAATCAAAAAGGATATCATAGGAAGGATCTCAATCAAAGAAGGTCAATGGCACGAAATATTATGTTAAAGATACTCCCACTTAAATATGTCAATCGAAGCATCAATCAAGGGATTTGGCAACGGGAATATTCTCTCATTAAAGAAAGAATTGTTTTAAGCCCATGAGTTAAAGCAAATCCACAGAAGAATTAATCTTGGAAAGAATCGATTTGCGATTCCTTTTTGAGTACAACTGCCTTGGGTTTGTAATCTCTCAAAAAGTCATACAAGACATGAAGGCCTCAAGAAGTATAAATGCCTACAGTACCAGCCTCGAAAAGACATACTTTGATCAAACCAATTTGAATCTCTTTGTTCTAATTCAAACAAACACTGTAGTTTGTTTTAGATTTCTTATGTAAGAAAGAAGAGAAGAGAGAGAGAGAGAGAGAGAGAGAGAGAGAGAGAGAGAGAGAGAGAGTGAGAGAGAAGCACTGGCGAGGCTTTGTATCAACTATAGAGAGAAGAACAAAGTGACAAAAGCTGTTGGTGTATAACAACAAATCCTTCGGAAGATGGAGTGATGAAGATAGTTTAGAACACGAAGAAATAGCAAATCTGTGCTTAATGACTATCCTGGAAAATGGCATTAACAAATACTCTGGTTGCTGGACTGATGAAGATACATCACACAATAAATGCAAGGAAGATACTGAAAACTATTTCATGACACAAGGTGAAACAAGCGAGTTAAGAACCTATAAATGTGATATATGTAATGAATTGCAGGATATTTGTGACCTTACCCTAAAAGAGTCTCAAAAAATGCTAAATGAACGATGGAGACTCAATAGGGAAAAGAAAGACTGGGAACTTAAGCTTGAAGTTTGAGAAATTGAAAGAGACGTACTTCAAGATGAAGCAATTGCAAATGTAACTTAATGGCATGCGCAAATCCACTAGTCACAGTTCTGTCAAGTCTAACTAGGCAACTTACAAGTCAACTGGAAAGAGACTTGTTAGAACTGAGTCCACAAGCACTAACACAAGTGGTAAATCAAAAACTGGATCAACCCCTATGTGTCATTACTGTAACAAATTTGGACAAAAATATTCCTTTTGTGGATTTGGTAAATATAATGTTTCAGGATGGATTTGGAAACCCAAAAATAATCCTGATTCTAGTAGAACTAATCAACAAAGACCCAAGCAAGCTTGGGTACCTAAAAGAAGGTGACAATTCTATTTTGCAGGAACACCACAGAAAGAGCTGCAAAGAAAAATAGTATTTAGACAGTGCATGTTCAAGTCACATGGCGGGTGACAAAATCTGTTCAAAGAAGTCACAAAAATAAATGGTGGAAATGTCAAATTTGGTGATGATTCAAAAGAAAAGATAGTTGGTACTGGTACAGATCCATTTGGAAATAACTGTGATATTACAGAGGTATATCTTGTAGATGGACTAAATTACAACCTTTTGAGCATAATTCAGCTATGTGATTCGGGATATCAAGTAAAATTCAAGAAAAAAGGATGTGCCATTGAAGATGAAACTCGTAAAACCATTCTTCCAAGAAAAGGTATGGAAATGTTTATATTCTTGATGGCATTGAAAATCTTGATATTCATATTTGTCTAGCATCCAGATGTGACGATCCATGGCTTTGGCATAAAAAACTTGGTCATGCAAGCATGCATCTAATTGAAAAACTCTCCAAGCATAATTTAGTTATTGGTCTTTCAAAACTCAATTTTTCTAGAAATCATGTATGTGATGCACGTCAGATTGGTAAACAAACTAGAAACTCTTTCAAAATCAAGGACATTGTGTCTACTACCAAGCCTTTGCTATTGCTTCATATGGACTTGTTTGGACCCACTAGAACTGCCAGCATTGGAGGTAAACAATATGCTTTTGTTATTGTTGATGACTACTCATATTTTACATGGGTAATTTTCTTATCTCATAAAGATGAAGCATTGAAAAACATGGAGATTTTATGCAAAAGAATTGAAAGAGAAAAATGGTAAGTTATCACAACCATTCAAAGCGATCATGGAGGAGAGTTTGAAAGCAGATCATTTGAAGATTTCTATAACAATCAAGGGTATACCCATAACCTCTCAGCCCCGAGATCACCCAACAAAATGGGGTAGTTGAGCGCAAGAATCGAACTCTACAAGATATGGCCAAAGCGATGATATTATATTTGGTAGTACTAATATTCTTTTGTGCAAGGATTTCTTGAACATCATGCAAAGTGAGTTCGAAATGAGTATGATGGGAGCGCTGACATTTTTTCTTGGACTTCAAATCCATCAACTAGAAAGTGGAATATTCATCTGCCAAACTAAGTATACAAAGGAGTTGATTCAAAAATTTGGAATGAGCGATGCCAAATCAATTGGAACTCCTATGAGTCCCTCTACAAGTTTAGACAGGGATGCACTGGGAAAATCAGTAGATGAAACCAAGTATTGTGGAATGATTGGATCTCTATTATATCTAATGACTAGTCGACCAGATATCATGTTAAGTGTTTGTAAATGTGCCAGGTTTCAATCACCTCCTAAGGAGTCTCACTTAACTGTAGTAAAGCAAATAATTCGCTATCTCATTGGAACCATCTCATACAGACTTTGGTATCCTCGCTCTAACAGTTTTGAACTTGAAGGATTTTCAGATGTAATCTTGCAGGTGAACAGAAGACATAAAAAGCACAAGTGGAACTTGTCAATTACGAGGAAAAGCACTAATCTCCTGGAACAGTAAGAAACAAGGATCGGTAGCTCTTTCCACAACTGAGGCAGAGTACATCACAATTGGGCAATGTTGTACTCAATTACTCCGGATATCTTATCAATTGGGTGACTAAGAATTATATTTTAAACCTGTTCAAATATTCTATGATAATTATAGTGCTATTTGTCTATCAAAGAATTCTGTGCATCATTCTAGAGCTAAGCATATAGACATTAAGCACCATTTAATTAGAGATCATGTTCTTAAGGGCAACATAGAATTGTTGTTTTTAAGTTCCACTAATCAATTAGCAGACATCTTTACAAAACCCTTGCTAGAAGACAAATTCTGTGCATTACGAGACTTTCTTGGCATTATTTCCATAAACCCATAGTTTTGTGGAATTTGTGATATTTTTAATTATTACCATATCTTAGTCTAAATATTTCTTTAAGTGTGTAAGTTGCATTAATTGCGTGTCTGGTACTTTTCTGTTTTCACATTTTTTCACACCTTTTCAGAGACCGGTCAATCATAGCGTCTCTATGACGCCTTTTCATCTGTACTCTACCGCTGTTTCTCATTCTTTTTATGTCCAAAATCCTTTCAATCCCTCTCACGTTGTTTGTATCTCCACTCCTCTGTTCCAAACCCTACCATGGCGAAGAACTCCAAAAACCCCTTTGCTTCAACCCGAAAAAGCACTCGCTCCAGGGCAAAACCCTCCTCTCAACCTCATGAACCATGCAAACTAGGATCCAACCATTCTGAGGATTTTACCACCTCTTAGGACCTCTCAGATGATGCTCGTAGTCTCAGCGAAAAATCTCTAGGAAAACGACCCATGGTAGACCACACGGAAACCTTCACTCCCCAAAAGACCAAAACTGATCTCTCCAAGAACAGGATCCTTCTCTACCTTCTACCAGCGTGATACCTTCCTAGTTTACTGTCTTCTGACTAAACACAAGGTCAAGTTGTCTTATTGGGTCATCGCTTTTATGATAGAAAGGGCCGATGATCCCATAAGTCTTCCTTATGGTATGGTTGTTACCCATCTATTAGAAGCCAACAACATATCCCTTGTTGACCAACCATATATCACTGTTACCAAGTCTTACAACTCCAGGAGATTTTCTAGCATCGGCTATATCTCTGTAAAAGGAGCATGTGTCAAGAAACAAAAAGGTGAAACCAAGACTATCCCCTCTGAC